ATGTCTCTCTGGGGGTAGCCTGTTTCGAATTTGCACTACCAATGCACCCACATCCTTCCTTGCACTGGGAGGCCTGCAGGGGCGATGGGCTATGGTTGGCTCTGCAGAGCCAGTGTCCCCTAAGGGTGCTGGGTGTCCCTCCAGGGCCCACTGTGATTCTCAGGCCTCCCTTTCTGCACATTTTCTACACACAGACCACGGGGGTGGGCAGGGGGTGAGAACCTCAGTTGGAGAGATCTCTGTTTTGCTTTTTTTCAAAGCTAAAGTGAGGAGACGTGTCCCTCCAAACTAATGATGGTGCCAGGTGTTTGCAGGTGAGAGGATGCAGCGTGCACATGGCCTTGGATGTGCAGTTTGCCTTCCTTGAGGTTATGAACCCCTCCCACAATCATAAACCACTCAAGATGGAGAGTCACACTGCTGGCCAACACCGTGGCCACTAGCCATAGGGGGCCACTTGCATTTTAATAATGAGAATAGAATAAAATTAAACATTGGATTCCTCACAGGCTACGTTCCAAGTGCTGGACACTACAAACAAGGGCCCGCCCTGCACTGGAGAACAGCCCCCAAAGGCATGGTTTTCTCTCCTCTACCCCATAGATGAGGTTGCCAAACTAAGAACTTCTCATGAAAGGGATGGTGCAGGGGGGTGCCTGAGCCGTCTGCTCCTGCTTTACGGTGTGTCGAGAGGCTGACCCACACTGTGGCTCACTTGGCAGTTTTCAGTGCTGACCAGTGTCCAGTCTCCTGTGAAGGGCACCTGGTTGTTTTAGGATGGATGCTTTTAATGCTCAGCGTCCCAGGTAGGGCTGGCTCCTCCTGGCAGCCCTGCTGTGTGCGGGCCATACACCACCTCGCCCTGCTGTGCTGTCATCCTGCCATGTATCCTGGGATGGGGCGGCGAAGGAAGGGATAACTCGGGTTACCCAGCTTCTACTGGGGGCTCCGAATTTTAGAAGGACACTAGGGCCATCTCTTGGTCGTTCATTCCTGAAATGAGTGGTTGGTGAGTGCTCCAGTTGCAGGCTCTGTCTGGCCGCTGCCGTGTGGGGCTGATGCAACTGTGGGCATCTGCCCCTGGACAGACCTTGACTTTTTGTGAAACTTCTGTCACAGTAGCTTCCTTTCTGTGACCATCTTCTCATTTCTGTTTCCCTCACTTTGGGTTCCTCTGAAAACACGCCTGCCTGGCCTGCCCTTTCTATGAGCCACCGTGCTGTGCAGGGCTTGGGGTCCTATCCAGCCTGCTCACCCCAAGTTGTTGGATGCCCCACAGCACCTACCTCTGGATCCCCAGTTGACCCAGAGGCCCCTCGCCTGTCTCCAGGGGTCCAGCTGCCAGGACTTGGGAAGACAAGAGTTTGGACTGGAAAGGACCTCAGAGATCTTCTGGTCCAGGGACTCCTTAACCCTTGAAGTCCTTCAAAAGACTATAGAAGCCCAGTGTGCAAAATAGGTGAACCCCTGACTAAGCAGAGGAGAGGTGGTTCTGTCCACTCCCCCCTTCATCCTTCTGGGTCCCACATGAGGGGTCTAGGGAACCCAAGGACCCTGGGGTGTGGTGGGATGACCCCCTCCAGCCAGCTCCTTGTTTTCAGAGCACC